GTTCTGTACCACCATTCAGGCATACAACACAATTGAAGATCAAAGACCATCTGACCAAGTGTGAAGAGATGCATGGTCAACTTCCGAACCACAGACAGTGCAAATAAGGATACCGTCTTTGATCCTTCATGTTGTTAACACGTGTTCTGCTTTTATACTATGATTACATGGCCAAGATTGAAAGATAGTACAAATCCTTTTTCATTTTGCTACTATAGGTAAAAAGGTTGTAACCTTTGTATCTGCTCTTGTGTTTAGAAATGTTAACAATAACAGGAAGGATTTGATTTGTATTGAAACAGAATTAAATCAATTATTAAATTAAGTTTATTAACCAGTTCCCACCCGGCCTATAGCCAGATGGCAGCTGGCGAACAGCTCGTCCCTGCGGGTGGACACCATTTCCGGAACGCACATTGCACACGCCCACAGGGCAGCGCTGTGGCGAGATCTGTCACCGGCCTTGTACCTGGGACACGGCCGATGACAGATCTGTGTACCATCAACTATGAGCCACAAATGAATCCAGCCATGCTGCTAGTAAACATGAGTGGAGAATACTATAAATACACCCTGAAAGGGGAGATCAGCGTACAGGAGCAGAACAACATCCATGACAATGGAATCCCCAAGAAGGCTCCATGGTTAGTGTGCTAACTCGTTGAAACAGTTCTTTCCACACAACCTTCTCTGGGTTTAAAATTATTCCTGGAGGATTTGGGTATTTTCTTTTCTCTAGGTACTTTTGTTTTAGACAATATATCTGGCACCAAACAAAAGGACACTCACCTTGTGGTTATGGGTGAATTCTCAATTGGGACTATATGTGCAAGGTTGAACTTAAGAAAAGATTCTGCCCTTTTGTATTTCTCACAAACCCCAGTCAGAACTGCACCTTTCTTCTTTTGGGTGTGCACTGCTCTTTTGTCTGACAGCAGAAGTATTTTTTCTGCTTTGCAAAGTTTTATGAATCAGTTAGTGCACCTCGTTAGTGCACCTTGTTGTTCCTCCTGATAAAACACCCACCACCACCTTCTCCAGCAGAATCTGGAGCAGAGAAGTTTAATATATTTGATTCTGTCGTAAACCCTCCAGGGGACTCATGGTCAGATTCTGAAGCCCTCCGTTCCAGGGGCAGACTGACAACTCATGGGGCCCCCGAGCAACAGGGGATCATGGGGCCCCTCTATCCTTGCCCACACTCAAAGAACACCCAAAAAAGTCTATAAAAAGGTACATGGGGCATTTCATGGGGCCCCCTACTGACCCTGGGCCCTCAGACAGTGCCGAAGTGCTCAAATGGTCAGTCCGCCCCTGCTCCCTTCTTTAGAGAAGGAGACCCCAACAGCTAAACTTCAGTCAGCAGATGTTTTTTTTTATAATTGAGGCTGTAGGCTCTATCCAATATGGGGAATTTTGTCATGAAATGGTATACTCCGCCTGTAACTGACTCGTGTGTCTTCCAAGAGGCTCTGTCTTTTAAGGTCCCCGCTGAAAAGAAGTTGAAAGCACTTTCTCTATCCATCTACTCCTTGATTACAAGTGACCTTTCACCCATGTTTGCCTCTGCACTCATTTCTAAATCTTGGGCTGACTGGTCTTCACTGGTAATCGAGGATCTGGAGGTTACTGGTGTTGATACTTAACATATTGATTGCATTGGCTAGATGTTTGTCACATTGAACTTTATGTATGACGTGGCACAGGATGACTGGGTCAGGTCTTGCTTTTTTCTTTCTCCTGTCCAATTAGGCGGGGTGTTCTGACTTCATTGTTGATCAGATGAGCAACAGTGTAAGAAGGTTTTGTTAAGACTAACCTTTGTGGGAAACTGACTTTTAGTCTCTTTGCTGGTTGAAATCACTAAAGTGTGATGAGGTAAGTGTACTCAATTACCCCAGGCGCACAAAACTAAGGTTTAACAGTGAAGACTGACACCATTCTATCCTGCATCAAAGCACTTCTCTTGTTCTTACAAGTCAGATTCCAGTTCCCAGAACAAAAAGTCTTCTTCCATCTTCTCGGATTTAGTGATTTTTATACATACTTTGTAACACTAGGGTTCAAAACTGGAGTGTAATCCACCTCAGTGTTAAGGTCCACCCCCACCATCTCTCTCAGAGATGAAGAGACCCCTGACGGCTTTTGTGGAGATCTGGGAAGATTGCATAGCAACCACATTGGTATAGGAAAAAATATGGATCTTCTTGTTCCAGAGTTATTCCAGTCATTGGATACCTAGCTGACCGGCCGCTGCAAGTGCAAACTTTTTTTTACCTTGGATTCAAATGTGTCAATAACAATTGGTGGACTATGGATGGGTCCAAAACTTCAAGCAGTTGACTTCTGTTCAAAACATTTGGAGTATTTGTGCCATCTCCTGGATACCTTTTAGACCAAATCTTCATACCAGAAATGGACAAAACTGCAGGATCAGGTTTGGCAACTTTGATCTCGATGTCTCAGTCTTCAACTACAGTGCTCAATGTGAGTGTTGCAGCAGCAACAAAGGAGTCTATTCTGTCCTGGATGAAATGTCATGTTTAGAGCATTTTCCATGGTGCATGTTTCTGGAGAACTGGAAGGCAGATTGTTTCAACAGAACAACATCTGGATGGGGAAAAATATCTCTCCATCCAGAAGTTTTCTGAGACATACATTTGCATTGAACAGCGTCTTGGGGAACACTAGCATCTTGTAGGGATCCTAATTTGATCTTACACAAGATTGTTTGGAGTCCAATAACCCACATTTTATCCAAAGTGTTGTTTTGCCTTTCACCCGAATGAACATATTGTGTCCAGCAACCATTCACCCCAAGGAGATTTATCTTCATTGCCTGGATGTAGTGAGAGCCATCAGGGTTTACCTTTCTGCTATTGCTTCTTTTAAGCAGACTGATTCCCTTTTTGTCATTACAGAAGGTCCTAGAAGAGGTGTTCCAGCTTTCAGATCCACTATCTCTAAGTAGATTCAGCAGGTTATTGTGCAGGCCTATTAGTTACAAGATAAAGTACCTCCTTATGTTAAGGTCCAGTCCACTAGGACAGTGAGTGTTTCTTCATCTTTCCATCACCAGGCATAAGTGTTACAGATTTGTGAGGCTGCAATCTGGTCTTCTGCACATATTTCTGTTAAAGTGGTTGTAAAGTCTAATTTAAAAATAAATAAATAAACAGGTTTATACTTACCTGCTCCCCAACCCACCTCCCACTCCTTTGTCACAGGATTTGGCTGACAACAGGGGGAGTCAATGGCTCCTGCTGCCTCAGCAAAGCCTGTGAAAGCAGGATGAGAAGACAGAGTCGTTACAGATGGGCCACAGCACTGGATCCAGTGAGATGGGGAATGCATTACAGTGAAAAATGTTTAGGCTTTAGAACCACTTTAAGCTTTACAAGGTCAATATGTCTGCTTGTGCACATGCTTGTTTCAGGCGAAGGGTTCTGCAAGAGCCTGCTTAATGTTCCTGATTTCGCTTTGTGTTTTTTTCTTGTTGGATTGGTTTATCCAAAAAAAAAAAAAAAAGCAGTCCAAACTAAGGGGTATGAGTGTTTCTGCCTCTAATTAGAATATTTTTTGGACTTCCCTAAGTTGCTCAGTTATCATCAACCTGTGTCCCTCAGAGGGCAATAGAGAAAAGAGGGGTTTTTGTGTACATATTTTATATCAAATCCTTTTCTCAGAGCCATAAGGAGACACAGCTTCCTCCTCTTACGCTACCATTTTCTCTTTGGACTGCTTGCTACAGCTGAGCAGGTGTGAGATAGGAGTGGTCATAGGATTAAGGCAGCTGGCTTTCTGCTTCTTATGTGCACAATATCCTTTTCTCCTGTAGACAGCAGTCTAAACCTAGGCTGCTTAATTATCATCAAGCTGTGTCCCTCACTGGACTCCAAGAAAATAAATATCCTATCGTTATGCATTATAATATTGTAAGTAATATAAAACACTATATAGTACTTAGTTTATGTTTACTTTTATGTTAAGTCATTTGACCCAAGCTTTATATGCAAGTATATGGTTATTTCCAAGCTGAAATCCTAGCAGATGAAAAAAACCAACAATTTATGCAGGTATGGGTTCATTACAATTTTTCAATTAGTGTATTTCTAAAAGCAGCCAGCATATTATTGGAATTTGATATTTAAGCTTCTTATCTGGTTACTAGGTACACTAAAGTCCTGTATCCCCTTTTTTCTTTTGTGCTTTTGTATACTTCAGCCCCAGTCCTCTTCTTCTCGGGTCCCCCGTTGGTGCTCCTGGCCCCTCCTCCTTGACCTGTACCCCCAATAGCAAGCTGCTTGCTATGGGGGCACTGGTGCGTGCTCGCTGCCGAGCCCCCCTCTATGCATCCAAAATAAACATAGAGAACATGTCTCAGCCCTGCCCCCTGCTCTAACCTTATTGGCTCACTGGCTGTGATTGACTGCAGTGGGAGATGACTCCCCCTACTGTGTCTCAGCCAATAAGGAGAGAGAGAAACGGGACAGCCAAGGTTCCCATGCACATCACTGGATCGAGAGGAGGCTCACTTGAGTATTCGGGGGGGCTGTGGGGGGAGCAGTCAGCACACAGAAGGTTTTTTACTTTCATGCATAGAATGCATGATGGTAAAAAACTTTCAGTTGTTACAACCACTGTAATTTAGTATGAGCCTTTTGCAGTTTCCTGTATAGCTGAGCTCAGAGAAAAAGAAGGAAAAGCAGCACAAGGAGACAATTAGGTGTGCTGCAATGCTCACATGCTAACAAGAATCATGCGGACTGGAAGAGAGGTGATCCCATCAGTCTTCTTCTTCACTGTCCAATCACTGTCTGGGGGCAGGGACAAGACCTAATTGTATTACTTAACTGCAGTAGAAAAAGGTCAGGTCTGAAGTCATTTAAACATTTCCCTGGAGTTCAGATTAAAAACTGGAGTTCCACTTAAAATAGAAACAGTTGTCAATATGGGTTAAAAAAATAAAAGTAGGCAAGCAACCCTGCAAAGTAGTAATTTCACTTACTCTGAACACAGTAGACTGTATACTTCTCCTTTGACTGAGGAAAGTATGTCTGATTGCTGAAGCGATATTTAGTCCTCACACCAAGGAGTCCACCACCACACTGGGGTCTTGCAAATGACACAGGATAACGTACACTTCCATCTGCAAGCCAGCCATAGTCGCACTGATCAAAGCCTGTCCTCCAAGCAGCATACAAGTCACCAACAGTTGCTATAGCTGCATTCTTTTTCTCGCATTCTGTTTTAGCTTCCTCAAATGTCAGCCTTTTGGGAACATGGAATAAGTCACCTGAAAAACAGAAAAATATATATACTGTACATGAAAAAAACATATGAAATAAGAAATATGTGAAACTGTTATGCTGAAACACAAATATATAGAATGTATTACAGGATCCTTGCAAGCTACAAGGAATAGCTGTAAGAACAAACTAAAACTAACAATCCCATTTTTGGCTTGATCAGCATGTTATAGTCTTGATAGAAGCTTTCTATAACTAAGCCAAGCCTAACATAACAATAAGATGCTGTACTCAAATACCATTTTATGTAAATTTGTAAATGTTCTCCTGCGTTAAGAATGTAATATATTTTACATTTTAATAACAAACAAAACACAGCTGTGTGCAATCTACTAAGGCCCCTTTATATGTTTTTTATATTTATCTTTTTTTTTTTTTACTTTAATGTACATTTTGTTTTGAATTTCTATATGCTTTGTCACATATTTTAGGAACGTTTAAAAAAAACAAATAAGGAAAAAATATATATTGGCTCAAGCTACACTGCTACAAATTTTGAACTGAAACCCCCAGGTACCAAGTACAAATAACTGCTGCACATACTTCCTTCAATATGAATCTGCTTCAGTCCTACAACAATGATTTTGGCAAGCAAAAAAATTGTATGCAATGCAAAGAAAATGTTATTATATCATTTAGCCATTTAAAAACAATAATACCACATGGCCAAATTTGTGCTAATGCTGCATACGGTATTGCCTGCACAAAAGTGTCCTATGGACCACAACGCAAAGATTCCACAGGTTGCAAGAGTTTTGGAGTGAACACTAAGAATCTGCATAGGTTCCTATATGGATGCCAAAATCCAGTGACATGCCACAAATGAAACTCAGTGAAATCCTAGGACTGTGAACACTGTGAGGCTGATTTACTAAAGGAATTGAGAATGTTCACATGATAAATTGTGTGAAAATTCACTTCCACGATCCAATCATTTGAAAAGCAGACCCGCGCTACATGCTATTTACTAATTGACGTTAAAATGTACATTACGTCCCATTTCCAAGGTTTATTCTTTGATTTTATCAACCATCTCTACTGGCCTTCCTCCTTGTACTACCAAATGGGCCTCCGAGCTTGGCCACTCACTCACTGACATGGACTGGTGGAAAGTTTTTCTTACTACACAAAAACCATCCATGTCTTGTTCCACACAGGAACCCAATTATAAGGTACTCTCATGGTGGTACCTTACTCCATCTAGATTACACTCCATTTACTCTTCCCATTCGGACTTCATTCATATCTGTTGGTCTTGTTGCCCTATATCTCAGCTCTGGGGCCATGATATTGTCCTTTACAATTTATTTTCCCAGGAATCTATCACTAACTCTTCCCAACTTGCCTTGTTTAACCTGCTACCTTAATTGTTGTCATGGGTGAAAAAACGCCCTTCTCCAATTTTGTGCTCTGACATTTGATCCCAAGGCATTGCAAGCCCAATACTGTTCTCTCCATCCCTGAATGGCTAGAGACTCTCAACAACCTTATGCACATGGTAAAATTGATAGCTGTGGATAAGAACACCTATGACAAATTCACACAGATCTGGATGGCTTGGATCTTGTTTGAAGGCTCTCATAAGCAGCAGGAATTTCTAGTGGGTCTTCCCTAGGGCCCTCCTCAATGCTGTGTAGCCCCTTACTACTAAGTTTTTTTCCTGGTCCTGTGTCATTGCACACTATTACAGGATATATTCACTCTTCTTTCCCCTACCATTTTATGCTAAGTACATCCTCTAGCAAGTACAATTTCCAGACCCCCTAACTGGTCTTAGGTTTCTTCTCTTTTATTTTTCTGCTGAATTTTTTTTTCTCTTTTCTATCATTTAGAGAGTACTCTCCTGTGACATATTATCTACCTTAATACTCTGTGTTCACTTTGTAGGAATGAAAGACTCCCTTTATTGTTATGTGTAACTCTCATTGTTCCCAATAAAAATATATTTGCACAAAAACGTACATCTGGGCATAGAAGGCATGGATTGGCTAAACTGCATTTTTACAGAACACAATAAGCTAATTCATAGAAATAAAAAATGTCTCACTGAGCTGAACAAAATGTATGAGAACTCTGTCTGTGCGTTTGAAGACCAAACTGCAAAGGATCAACTGAACCCTTATTTTGCATTATCAGCTATTTCAGGCTCTGAACAAATTATATGACTTGAGAAGTCACTGCAGAAATCTAATTACATTTGTAATCTTATTTCATGCATTTTCATTTTTGATAAATCCTTTTTTTTTTTCTACAAATATATGTCTAATATAATTCAGTTTGTTCATGTGGCTTTTTATGGTCTTGTATTGGACCCCTTACCAAAGGAATTTCCTGAAACTTGATTCTAATTAAGCCAATACGGCTAGTGAAAAGACTGTTTCCCTGAGTAATCTCATTTCAAAAGTATATGAGAAAGGCAGCTCACCATCTAATAAAGATTTTCTTTTTAAATATTTGCTATGTTGCCTCAAAGCTTTAATTGCTGAATAAGCCACTGCCTCAAAGCTTTTGTGAAAACTGCTGCACCAGCCATATATACACCAACAAAGAGGTTTTTTGGTTCTAAGGCATTCTCATTGGGAACTGTTGGTAGTTGTGAGTGGTGCACTGATGTGTGAATGCCAGGCTACACCTTCACCTCATGAAATGAAGAGCCAGACAAAAGGGTCCAATAGTAATAACACATGAATCAAAGAATGTCCTCCAACTGCTTTCCTCTAACTGCTATTTTATTAAGGCTGTTACTGGCAATGTACTCTCTATAAAACAAGACATGGCTAAATGAAGTATTTAGTGGGTTAGCACAAGCCAGTGGTGTCAGACATTCATGGCCTCTGAAACATTGATTTGTTAAGACACCAAGCTATGTAGTTGCTTGTGTGTACATGTGTGCCAGTGTGTGTATATTGTTTCTTATTCGTTATATGAAAGCTGCGAGTGGCCTGCCATTTTAACCATTGAGATAGTAAACTGACCCATAAGTAACTACTGAGAACATAAGAGACTGGATGGAGACAATAGTAGAAAAAAAATCAGTACCAGCAACAATCAAATCCCTCTTCTATTACACAACCCATGCATTAAACAATGCTTAGAATTAACAGCCACAAGAAGGGGTATATCTAGCTGTATTTATTTGAATTATGCATTGGGTCACCCACTACATACAGTAAACCACCAGTCCACCCTTCTACACCAAATAAACCCACCAAAACAGAAAGGTGTGGTTCACAATTTGCGTGTTCATTCTATATGTACACTGTACTGCATGCTCAAAATCCAGTGTATGCAACATTTTTGCACACTTCCATGGTTGTGCAAGAAAAGGCATCAATCCACTGATGAACAGCAGCACTCGTGTAAATGAACCCTTAAAATTACGATACAGTGTTTATATAAATTGTATTTCTAATTCAATTGACCTTTAATTAATTAGCATATACTCTAATGATGCATTAGTTATTTTTAAAGAATACCTCCAAAAAAGTTTGAAATAAGGGGCTACTGAAATCACTAAATATTACCAGTAACTTAAGTTTCTACCTTCCTTATAAAGAAAGTGAATCTAATATTTAGCTAAAGTACCTGGCACCCTGGAAATTATTTTATCCATGCCAACCCCTCCACAACTCCATGAAGATTGGCAGCAAATCCATCACAGAGCAGGAGGCAAGAAACTTTAACTGCAGTATGGGGCAGGTTTTTCCTAGACCTTCCTAAATAGGAAATGCTGCAGTAAAAGTTACATTTTTTTTAACAGCTACCAATTGGAACTGATAACGAACCCCTTGGCAATTTACTTTTGCAACTGCAGAATGCCATCAGGGCTCCCTGTTACAGATGGTGATGTCTAATTAAGGAAGTATAGTATATTCTTTCTAAGGGAATCTCACCCCACTATTGCCTGCAGTCCTTGTATATAGACAGTAATGGGATCCCCACTGAAGATGCGAATACATGCTCTTCAAGGAACTGATGAGGGGACAGATGAAGTTGAGTGGACCCCTTCACTAGTTTAAAATATGACTGTCAATGGTAAAAAAGGGACCACACACACATCCTGGGTTTCTACAGACATCTAATTGTAAGATCCCAACTACGGCACCACCTGTCTGGAGTTTGCATGTTCTCCCTGTGCCTGCGTGGGTTTCCTCTGGGTACTCTGGTTTCCTCCCACACTCCAAAGACATGCTGGTAGGTTAATTGGCTCCTGTCTAAATTGGCCCTAGTATGTGTATGCATGAATGTAAGTTAGAGACCTTAGATTGTACACTCTTTGAGGGTTAGGGACTGATTTGAATGTACAATATATATGTAAAGTGCTGCGTAAATTGACAGCCCTATATAAGTACCTGTAATAAATAATAAATAAATAAGAAGCCTTGCTTCTTCCTTTTTTTTTTTTTAAATATCATGTTGTTCTGCTGAAACAGAATTTTAGTTATAATTGGCGGTCAATTTAGATGTAAACAGAGCTCAGCATAGTCGTTTAAAGTGTATCTATTGTTCAAATGTAAAATCATATATTCAAAATTCAAATGTAAATTATTTCTAGCCTACTCTCATTAATCTGAATGAACTTAAACTTACTTTATAGGGATCCTCACACATTTGTTTTCTTAAATTCTGTGACACCTCTTTGGAATGCCCTGTGAGTAGGCACTGCAGTTTCACACATTTCACAGAGCCTGCCTCCTGAACTACAGAGGTGCTGAGAGGAGGAGTTTCAAAGCAGGAATTACAAGGTACCATGAAATATGTAGTCCAGGGGCGGACTGACCATTTGGAAACTCAGGCACTGCCCGAGGGCCTGGGGTCAGTAGGGGGCCCCATGAGATGTCCCTGGTACCTTTTTCATAGGCTTTTTTGAGTTTGGGCAAGGACACCGGGGCCCCATGATCCCCTATTGCCCGGGGGCCCCATGAGTTGTCAGTCCACCCCTGATGTAGTCCTTAAAAAACTGAAAGTAAACAGCATAGGAGAAGCT